TGAACGAGCTGCGGAAACGGATGGCCGGGATTGCCTCCACGTCCCAGGTGATTGGTAATCTGCGTAAATGTCCCGTTCCGTCCCGTCACGCGCAATAATCGATAGTCGTCTAATTATGCATCCATCGTCTAATAATGGGCCCGTCGACTCGTATAAGGAAAGTCAGCAAAAGGAATATAGAGCTGACAGCGAAAATAATTGTAATACATTTTCGATGCCTGGCTATATATTTCTTTTAGCGTATAATGTTAAAAATATAATTATTATTATTATCATTATTATTGCTAATTATTATAGCATAATAATTATATAAATGGAGCTCTTAATCATAATTATTTTATTCAATTATATATAATCATAAATACAAAACACTTTTTCTCAATCAGTGTGAAAGTGTAATAATTTTAATAAGATTGCGATTTATCGTTAACTTTTTTTCCAGGAATTAGACTCGTGATAATCTCAATAATATTCATAATAATGTAACTTTACATTTATAACAATCTTAAAAAATTCTCGACTCTAATCGACATTTGCTCTGAAATTTTCTTTTGCAGGTATTTGCGAGTTCAGCGTACTTTAAATTAGTTGTATACATCTTTATCTAAAATTAACGTAATTAAATGACAGAAACTTGATTTTCTTCATTTTGAATGTCAAAAACCGAGAATATGTAATTCAAAATTAAGTAAGGTAAAAAATATTTGTTATGAATAATTTTTCACAAAGCAATTTTTAAAAATGTCCGGATTCACCGCGAATATCAATTAGGATTAAATAAAACATCCTCTGATCTTCTTATTGTAATAGCTAGATTAAAAAAATAAGACAATTTTGAAGCTCGACCGATTGTTCGATCTTCTTATTGTAATAGTTAAGTAACGATCAATCAGACGAACGAATTTACGATCGCTTAAAGATTGCCCGATGGCGTCATCCGGAACGGAGCTGTATCGTAGGTGCGCCCATTAATAGCTTCCGGCACGATTGCTCGAAATAGAATACGATGAGAGGAAAAACGCGGCGGATAACTCTCCATTTATTTCGTCGAATGATTGAACTCTTAGCGCGTCCTTAAGCCATTCATCCCGATTCGCACCAAGTTACAATCTCGCCGCGTCGTCGCGGTGTTCGCACTAAAACAGGTTTTATTATCTGTCAGATCACAACAAAGACCACTACTAAGGATGGCACAGGACAGAATTTGCCACGACCCAGGATTCAAGTGCAGGAACCCGAATCCGAATGTAACCATCGGAACGTCCACACAGCGTAAGCTTTCACTCTTCTCTCGCTCTTTCTTCTTTCTCCTCTTCCTCTTCCCTGCAACTAAATTCGGCTTGGGAGATTTTATACCATCTGTATAGAATTGCGTAGATTCTTAGAAGAAAAAAAAAATGAAGCGTGTACATTGATTCCCCGTCGCGTACACTAAGCGCAATATCCAACATCTACGTCCAACATCTACGAATACATGCGTTTCATAAGTTCCAAGGATGAGCGAAAGAAAAGTTTCCGGATGCTGCGAACAATACGTATAAAATGTGAGGGAGACTTTTCTTTCGATATTCATCCCGCTAACGCAATTCCCTCGCTGCACTCACATTCACTCAACTTCACGACTGCATGTGAATCTTACGTTTGCTGTGATTCTCGCAAATGAAACGAAAGATTTTCTTTTATGCCATGTATATACCACATCCAATAAACAATTATATGTCTCCTGCATTGTAATATTAATCTACACCCTAGCAAAATCATTGCAAGACTTTCATAACTTAAGCACATAAATCGCTAACCAATGATTTTTTGAACGTAATATCTACTGGAAAAACCCTGTCTAAAAATTAGAAACATTTTTTATAACTGGAATATATCTATATAATGAGAAAAGAATTCATATGTTAATCACAATTTTTTTTCTTTAATATTTGTCAATAAAGCAATTCACATATAATTATAAAAACATTCTTCGTGTACAAATAATATAATGTTTTATGTTTTTAAAGAAAAAAATAAGATATTCTCTCTTCTAATATAATAACATTAAAACGAATGTTGTACTAATTCGCAAAACAAATCGAACATTTTGTATATCAATCGCTAAAATAATTTGTATATAATTTACAATTTTATAGAATAACTGCCTTTTCTCATGTTTAATATTTGTTATTGAAGCAATTTATATAATATACATAATTGTGAAGATATTCTTCGTGCAGATAATTTTTGTAAGGATCCATATAAATATACATTTGATTCTAAATGTAGAAAGAAATATTTCTTGATATATTTGTTTTTTTTTTTTTCAATAAAAAAAAACACGAGACTAGAATGTTATATTTAAAGGAAAACTATTTCACTCACAAAGAGAATGTTGTTGTCTTAATTCGGAAAAATATAATATTGGTCGATTGCCACGAAACAATAATGCCGGATTTAAAACATGAATCTTTTTATTCTTTTTAATCTTTTCAACAGAATAATATTGAACCAACAAATCATACAAAGAATCATGCTACTCGTAATATGTACATAGGAAAGTGTAAGAATAGCCATCATAAAAATGATTCAAGTATTTATGAAGACGACATATCATGACTGATCTATAGACTAGACAAAGATGATTATCTTGTATTGGGATTTGAATTAGAATACCTTCCTGCGCACCAGGATCCACAAAATCTATCGTGTCTCCTATTTTCGGTGTGCCTTTGGCATCTTGTGTATGGAACTGTATTATCACATCGAGCAGAAACTCGCCATTCTCACTGGCAGAATCATCCTCGTTGTCATTGGTCAGTGTACCACTATGAGACAACATCTCATCTGAAGACGAGGAAGTTTCATCTACGATATGCTCGTGTTTATTCGAGTGCATACCAACATCTGATTGACTATCGAGGTATCTGGCTACCTTTCTTTTATCAGATGAATTTACTGGGGAAGCATCATCGGTTCGTTCTCTTTTCAATTCTCGACGCGTTTTATTTGTGTCCGGGTTGACCTCACTAGTCGAGAAATCTGAGGTCAACGTCCGCGTTGATTCGTCTGAAGTATCTTTCAATAACGATTTGTCATATAGCAATGTATAACAGCCCGACGACCATCTCTGTAACTCTAACGTCATCTTAGGTCTCTTTGTTTTTTCAGGCACCAAATCGAGTCCTGTATATTTCTTCAACAATTGAAAGAAGGAGATAGATTTAAATAGATCACAGAAATCTCTCAATAGTTTCGGCAAGGTTTGTTCGTCAGCTATTTCATAGTGACGTATATCCGGCGGGCCTGTCATCCGCCAGCTGATATCCTGCGATGTTAAATCATTCGCAATTTGTTGATACACAGATTCTTTCAAGAAGCTTTTAAGAAACGTATAAGATGATATCTCGACATCCTCTTGAATTTGGTCCATTATGTTGCGTTCCAGATAATCATTGGCAACCCAGGAGTGCAAGTTCACTTTGGTAGAACTCGGTTCCAGGAAAGCTGGTTTGGCTGGTTCGTGTCTGGGTGATTTATGGAAATCCTTTTTTAACGGGCCGTGAAACCAACCATTGATCGACCACCTGCACTTGTCATGTGCCAATACCTCGGCTACTTGATGATAAGAATTTTCCACTACTTCGAAGAACACCAGGGAGTTATATTCTGGAATTAATGATTTCACTATCTTCCTAGGTGAACCTTCTTCGTCCGTATCGAAAAGATCTAAAGCACCACCATCTTTCTCTGACCAATCATCAGTTAGATACAATATATAAGCGATTCTTCTATCAATCATGTTATCATCGTGACATAACAAACGATCTGTATTATGATAACGGGCGCTCGACATCAAGACCTTTCCGTTTAGCTCAATGTTCATATTGCGGCTCATCCATGATATCAGATCTTTCCGAAAAGATCTGTTCAGCATTTGAATATACTTGTCAGTAAAGTAATGCAGATCCTCAGTTTTTTCAAACTGATAGAGATCAAGGACTTTGCGTATATAATCATGACGTTCCAATTCGCTTTTTAAGTTCTCTAAGATCTTCTCGTCTCTTAAGAAGTTTGATATCTTACACACTTTGAAAGGCTTCGATATGATCTCTAGATTGGCGCTCTTAAAATCGCTTTGGGAGTGCCAGTGTTTTTTGAATTCTTCTTGAAATTTAGTATCGTATATGTGCTCCGAAAATAACTGATCCGCCATACTCTCAATTTTTTCTTGTTAAATTTAAAGACAAACTAGTTTCTGTCAAATCTAACATAAAAATCTTAAATCTACAAATCTTTCTTCCTTAATTACAACTTTTCGATAAAAAAGATACTCATGTTATGCACCCGACGCTATTAAAATTCTTCTAAGCTTGCTTAATTCTTTACAATATAAAGCATGCTGCACCGTTTGACCTAACCTCTTTACGGATTTCAATTCGTCGATCCCGTTGGCAAAGTCTTGTCGGCGTGTCTTCAGGACGACATCGGGATCCTGGGTGTCTAATCCTAGGAGATGTCCTCGTCGAACAGAAATGTCAATCAATCGTCCTGGTAGGTAAATCCACGTGGTATCCTAATCGTGCCACGTGTGTCCTGCGAACAGCAAGTCAAGACGCCATTAAACCGTCCACGAAACCGTCACTCGGGACGATTATTACGATCAGACAATTCGGACAATTCTATTGAATTCTACGTACCATAGAAATTGCGGTTGGGATTTCACAGAAACTTTCTCGTACCTCCGTAACATAACATACGCGGCGACACCAATAATAAAAATAATATCAATCTAGCATAGTAGCACCTCTAGCGGCTCGAATAATCATTCATGTACTAACCTTTCGAAAAATATCCTTTCCATCGAAGGTTGCTCCAGAGGACACGATCTGTGTATGTACGCCAACATTAGCAAATATTAACACAACTGTATATCCATGCATAATTATCTATATGAATATAAAACAATATTTAACGAATGCACATAAAATTGGCATGCATTAATCATGAGTCTGTTCTTTTTAGCTGAACTTCTTGCACAGTTCATCTTTCCTCCTTTTCTCTTCACGTTGGAGACAAAAAATGTACCTTGTGGAACTGCAAAAAGTTTAGCTAAAAAGAACAAGCCTCATATTATCCAAAGCCTGTTCTACAATGCGTTCTTTGTTTCCTGCTTTTTATCTTTTGCTTTTTTCTCCTTTGCAACCGTTTTATTGATAATTATCCCAGATAACATTTACATTGCATAAGATATCTAAAGACATCTTTTAGACATAAGACGTCCAAAAGATGTCTTTTAGATATTTTATGCAACCCAGCAAAGAATGGATTAAAATGGATTGAAATTTTTTTCTATCCGAATGCATATTTTAAATAGCGAATTTTTTTTGTGGATTTAATTGGATTCAATTGGATGCAATTGGATTGAAAAATTGCATTTTCTATTCAAAATTTTGAATTGAACATATTCACAAGCATAAAAAAAGCTAATATTATTTTTAGATTGAAAGGCATAGAGATATGCTCCATTCCTAGTAAATGAATAAAAATGCATTCAGAATTGAAAAGCATTCATTTTAACATTCGTGAATCAATATTTCTGAAAATCTGAATCCATTTCAATTCATTTCAATCCATTCTCATTTGCTGGGAACATAAATGTTATCTGGGATATTTCCTGCTACGTATTTCTTTCGAAGTTCGTTAATTTTTATCTCGGGCGACATAAAACAAAAAACTGGATAAGAAGCAAGATGTAAAAAACAGTAAAAAGCAAGTAATAAAAAACAAAAAGCACATTATAGAATAGGCTTAAAGCTTGAAAGCGGCAGAAATGTAACTTTCGCGATGAGCACTTCATCTGGAAACGAGGTGAAAAATGCAAAAGTGATCGAATTTATTAGAATATTTCTAATTTTATCGGTCAACACGTAATATATTTGCTGACTTGTGATTTTCACGTCGTTCGAAGATACGCAATCGACCTCCAGTTGTAAAGAACAAACCTTATGGTGTACATCCAAGGACTTCGATTCTTTCTCTCGGTTACTTTTATAAAATTTCCAAAAATTCAAATTATATTTTTACGTCTTTAAAAATTTAGTTGTAAGCAGACGTAAGGTTTAGTCGTTAATCGCGCACGGACTATAAACATTAATGTAAAAAGATGATCCTTTCTCAGTTTGTGAAAATTTCCGAGGAAAAGAATCGAAATCCTTGGGTATGCATACGTTCGAACTGTTTGAAATTGGCGCCGCTTCGGCGCTGCGCTGTCGGGCCGTTGGGTGGCG